TGTTACTCTCCTTCCGTTCCGTTGTACTCTCCTGCCGTTTCGTTTTCCCATCCTGCCCGTTCCGTTTTACCATCCTTTCGTTTCGTTTGAGTCTCTTCCGGTTTCGTTTGACCTCCCTTCCATTCCGTTTTACCCTCCTTCCGTCCCGTTGTGCCCTCCTCCCGTTCCGTTTCACCCTCCTCCTCTTCCATTTTCCCTTCCTCTCGTTCCGTTTGAACTTCCGTTCCGTTTTACCCTCCTTCTGTTCCGTTTTGCCCTCCTTCCGTTCCGTTTTACTCTCCTTCCGTTCCGTTTCACCCTCCTCCCGTTCCGTTGTACCCTCCTCCCGTTCCGTTTTGCCCATCTCCCGTTCCGTTTTACTCTCCTCCTGTTCCGTTTTGACCCACCTCCTTTTCCTGTTTACCCACCTTCCGTACAGTTGCGCAGGCCACCCTGTTGCTGCTGGGTACCATCACACTGCTGGTTCCCATCGAAGTGGGTCTTATGGCGCTGCTGGTTGCCCTCATTGTGGTCGCCATTGCTCTGCGGGTCGCCGTCAAGTTGGGGGCGGAGATGCTGCTCCATACGTCGGACCTGGCCGCTGTGGCCGCTGTGGTGCAGCCGTTTATCGTCGTATTGGTCGTTACGGTATTGCGCTGGTGCTGGTCTCGACGGGGTTGGCGTCACGATGGTGTTGTATGGTGATGTCGATTGTGCTGATGGTGATGATGAGGGGGGGGGGGGGGGGAGGAGGAGTATGATGTGGAGGAGAAGGAGGAGGATGAGTAGGAGGAGGAAGGGAGGAGGGCGATCAGAGTAGTCACAGGTTTCCTGAATGACCCTCGGAGTTTCCTCGAATGCGTCTTGGCAGCTTTTCGGCGGCCTTTGGGCGTCTTTGTGGCCTCTTGTCGGTCTTGGGGGCCTCTTGGAGCGGCATGGGTGCCTCGGGGAGCCTCGAGGGTCCTGTGGGGGGTCTGTTCGGAGCCTTTTGGGGGACCTCCATGGGTTCTCTTGTGGCCTCCTGGGAGCTGTCTTGGGGCCATCTGGGGGTCTCTTGGGCTCTCTTGGGCGTTTCTCGGGGCCATCTTCGAGGAGACCGATCAAAATAGACGGGCCTCGGTTTTATTGTAGCCCCTCGGCGGCCCCCGAGATCGCCTCTGGGGCTTCTCTTGGAGCGTTCTTAGGGGCGCTCTTGGGCGCTATTGGGGCCGTTTTCGGGCTCTCTTGGGTCCCCTGTTGGGGCCCTTTTGGCCGCTTCTGGAGTCGTCTTGAAGCCTCGGATGGCAGTCGGGAGCGAAAAAGCGAGAAGGCCCAAATCACTGGTATCCATTATGTGTTGGAAGGATGTTGGCCTTCTGGAGGCCTCCGTGGGAAGCTTTGTGATCTCTTGGAACCGTCTTGGGGCAGTCTGGGGGCTTTTTGAAGCATCTGCGGAGACATCAGGAGGGCTATATGGAGCGATCGTGAAGTCATATTGGAGCTCGTCTTGGTCTCCCCGCATTAGGATACAATCGTGATTCATCCGGCGGCGCTGGGGCAACTTGCTTGTGAGCTGGTAGTGGCCACCCGCGCGCTGCGGCTACGTTGGCCAAGGCGTTTGTGTAGCATTGCTATTCCCTCTCCTTCCTCCGTCCCCTCCTCCTCCTCCTCCTCCTCTTCCTCTTCTCTCCCCTGCCCGAGCCCGGGGCTATTGCAGGTTTTGGCACTCATTCACGCACGGGGGCGATACGTTTTCCGGCGACTTCGTATCGACGGTGTTGGTTGTAGCATGCGGTAACATATCGTGCACTTGCGCTGCTCCCCAGTTTTTGGGGGATGACAGCCCGCTGATTCGTTCTCCACCACTGCTTTGGAGTTTTCAACTTGTTAACAAATCGTGCGCTTGCGCTGCTCCCCAGTTTTGGGGGGATGGCAGCCTGTCGATAGATTTTCTGCCACTGCTTAGGTAAACAACTTGTTAACAATTCGTGCGCTTGCGCTGCACCCCCGTTTTGGGGGTGCCAGCCCGTCGATTTATTTCCCGCCAGTGCTGAGAGACACACATCTTGTTTACACAGACGTGTGCCCCCCGAGTGCGGTGACGTCTAGTCGCCCGGCGCTGCTCGGTAGTCGACCAGCGAGGCGCCGATTCTTGCAGTCAGCCGCCCAGGCTCATGTTCAACGTGGTGAAGCCCACCTGCGACAATCCCTCAGCCGGAGGATGCTGCAAGGGCAATGTGTCGCTCTGCGGGTCGCCAGTTCATCCCGTCTTCTTGCCTCCTTCCCTCCTCCTCGCCGTGCCGCCGCCGCCGCCGCCTGAATTCCAGCTTATTTGTGATATGAGCCGCGTTCTGCAGACGCGCTGTCTTTTGGCAGCTCTCATGGGGGGTAGCCCTTTGACGCTCATTCGTTTGTTCCATTGGCGTACGCACACACGGACTTTTGTTGGGTGTGCGTTCTTCCCTCCTCCTCCTCCTTCCTCTCCTCTCTCCCTCTTTTCCTTCTTCCTCCTCCTCGCCGGTGCTTTTTTACTTCTGGGTGGTTGTTGTAAGTAGGCCGCTGGCACGTGGTGCTGCAACTTTGGCAACCTCGCTGCCCATTCCGCCCTCCTTGTCCTCCTTTCCTCCTCCTGTGGAGTCCGTCGCCTTTTGAGCTCTGATTCCTAAAACCCGGATGCCGCCGCACACGTGTGGGGGGACAATTTTGTTAACATAGCATTTTGCCGTATAGCGCCAAAGCAGAGTAAACGCTTGTACAGTATAGCTCTGATCGGGTTCTGGATTGAAAGCTGACGTGGTCGTTCACGGAGCTTGGAGTCCGATTGATAGCTTAGCGTGTCTGGCAGTGTCATCCTCTGGGTCTGTTGCTGGAGGAAGAAAAACAAAAAACATAGCAAAAAAATACAATGATGAGAAGGATGAGCAAGAAGAGGGGTGTGAGGAGGTCGGTCGATCGGTCGAGACCCTCGAGCGCCTCAGTCAGCTGAGCTGTGCCGGGGCGGTGGGGGCGACATTGGCCTCCTCCATCTAGGAAAAGAGGCCTCCTGCCAGCCTTGTGAAAACAGCGCTTCGGGGGGGAGGCGGAGAAGGAGTAGGAGGAGGAAGTGGGGGGCATGAGGAGGGGGAGGCGGAGGAGGAGGAGGAGGAGGAGGAGGAGGAGGAAGAGAGAATGGTGTCCTCATCGTTGTCGTCGTCGTCGTTGTCGTCGTTGTCGTCGTCGTCGTCGTCGACGCGGCGGGGTGCTGCTGACCCGGCCCAGACAGTGCCGGCGAGGGCTCGCGCCCGGTGGGCCTTCAGGCGCGGCCGCCATGGGCAAGAAGAAAAAGCACCGGGCCCGTGGAGTCCGGGCCGGCGCCAAACGAAAAAGGGAACCCCGTGATCCCGAGGAAGGGGGCGAGGTCGAGGCGAGCCCGGCCGAGGAGGACATTGAGGTGGAAGAGGACGCAGCATCCGGAGAGGAAGGTGTCTGGTGTCACAGGCCACCGCTAGCGGAGCGGGGGAGGTCGGACCACTTGTTCGAGGCGGCGTTGGCCAGGCAACGAGAGGAGTATGCGGAAGAAAGGCGGCGTGATGAGGCGAGACGGGACGAAGAGGCGAAGAAGCACCGGGCGGAGGAGGCCGACCGGCGCCAGCGAGAACACGAAGAAATGCGGAAGGTTCTTGCTGAAGAGGCGGAACGGCGCCGCACGGTAGAAGCGGAAGACGCGAGGAGGAGGCGGCAAGAGGAGGAGGAGGCCCGAAAGCAGAGTGCTGAACGGGATGCCGCGCTCGTCCAGAAAGTCCACGGCATGCTGAGATCCTTCAATCTCACCCACCAGGCTTTCGACTACTTGGTGGTGTCCGGGAACACCGTGCGTCCAGAGCTCATGGGCATCAACGTGAAGACTGAGCGCGTGGTGTGCACGCGGCCGGTCTACAAGAGGACCGGGTCTGGCGGCTTGTATCGACGAGCCTTCGGCTTACCGCCCACTGTGTTTGCGTCGGGAGAGCCAGGCATACGGGAGAGTCGGAACTCGAAGCACGACAGGTCCCAGTCTGGCCGGTCCAATGTCGAATGGGGCACCGAGGTACGGGGGACGGGTGTCACGGAGTCTGTGCGGAGTGCAGCCGTAGTTGCACGGATAGGATGGTGCGGCCAAAATCACGGATGGACCGGTACACGCGACGTGGGCGGGAGGGGTGGGCTGGGTACCATGTTTGTTCGGGTGCGGGCGCGGGAGCTTGGCAATCTTACGTTGTTCCCGCATGGGCCTTCCTGGCCTGTTGTTGTCGCCCGAGACCAGGACACAGATTCACCAGGACACGGAAAAGCCAGGAAACGGCACCCTTTGCTGCCCAGCCACATTTTTCTGCACCCGTGCATTTTTTGATTGCTGCAATGTTGTGTTTGTGCCGCAGTGTGGTCAAAGCGGTTTCGAGCTATCTTGGGTGTCCGGGTTTCGCGTGTTTGGGTTTAGGGGGTCCTGCGGCCCCTGCGCGGAAACTGGCGGAAGTCCGGGGGGGGTGCCGGTCAGCGCGCGGCGGGGGCAGTGACACGGTCCAGGGCAGCGTGGGAGTATTCCGTGACAAGCGGAACTAACAGCGGAGGGTTCATAGTCGACGGGCATGGTTGTAGGACATGCCCCGTTGGTGGACATCGAAAACAGAAACAGCCGGACATGTTGCACCGTTTCGCTACCGATGGTGTTCTGTCCACGCACGTCGACGAATCAAGCTCTCGTACTCATGGGGGGGCGTTCGCGTTCGTCGCGGGGTGTTGACGCATGCCGCGGTTGCAAACGCGCAGTACTGTGCTGTGCTCACAGAGGCGCATGCCAGCGCACACCTGCACCCTTATCACTTCTTGCATCTATCGAACACGTCATCTCGTGGTGCGATGCGGCTTTGGTCGATGCGGGGGGCGTTCGAGAGAAAATCTTCACTGCCTGTCGTCTGTGCATGTGCACAGAGGCGGACTTGTATTACTGGGCGGAGAAGACCCACTGGGCCATCGGTACCGACTGCGAGGTTGACAGGGCGTGGATTTGCTCTACTGGACCCGACATGAGCGCCTTGAGCCCCGTGGGCGTGAGCCAGTGGTTGATCCACGACGGCACTGCGTGGGTTGCCGCGCGCGGCCTCAGCGTCGTGCCACAGGCACTCGCGCCCTCGCTTGCTTTCCATATTGGTTTCTCAGTCTCCCCCGCGATCCGTGCCTGAACCCCTCCAGACTTCTGCTGGGTTCCGTGCGTTTTTCGGCAGAGGCATGATTTTCGTGGCGACCAGGTAAACCCGGGACCCATTGCGGCGCATGGTTTTGTTTTTCTGTCCGCGCACGCGTTGCCACTGGAACCCTGAAGGCTTTATGATTATAGCCCTTACGAGCGCACCCACTCCTGGCACTTCTCTCGCCCCCTCCTCTCCCCACTTCCAGCGCGGAACTTCAGATTGTTCGCTCTGCGAGGGGGGTCGTGGGATTCTTGGCCCGCGTGGCCCGCCAGGCTTGTCGGTGGTGTACGGAGCTTCTGGGGGGTTTCAGGCACCGCCACGTAGAGCCCCCCCCAGGCGACGCGCAGCGAGGCGGCGGCGGCGGCCAACCGTGGTGGCGGCCCCCCTGCCGGTGCCGCGGCAGTGGCGGCCGATGTTCCCGAGCCTGCGGACGGCCAGCGGGCGCTCGGGGCAACGGTGGCCGCGGCGTCGAAGACGGGCGTCGTGAAGACCTGGTGCTGGGACAAAAGGTTCGGGTTTATTTGTCCGGACGACGGCGGCGAGGACCACTTTTTCCACCAGTCGGCCTTGGTGGGCTGCAGCGAGATCGACGTAGGCACCAGGGTGCACTACGAGACGGTGTACGACGAGCGGAGAGGCAAGCGGCGCGCCCGCAGTGTGTCTGCAATGTTCAAGGGCGACGCCGGCGGCGACAAGCAGCACTGCACAGCTCAGGCGACCGCGTCGACATGGCAGGAGCGAGCGGTAGGGGGATGGCGACAGGGGGAAGAGGAGAGGGAGGTGGAGGAGGAGGAGGAGGAGGAGGATAATAGGAGGAGGAGAAGGTGAGGAGGCAGCGGTAAAAGGAGGAAGGGGGGAGGGGGGATGTTGCCTTTGCCGTCGACGCCCGTTCCTGCTTGGTTCTGCGTTCCGGCGTTGTCGGAAGGCTCAGTGAAAATAGCGAGGAGGAGCAAGAGCGAGATGAGTACGAGGAGATGAAAGGAGCGGGGAACAGGCGTCGACTGCGTTAGGAGCGGCCTGGCGTGGCCCGGGGTCCGGGCCGCTCCCGGGCTCCGAGCGTCGCCGCGCCGCTCCTGGCAAGGGGCGCTGGGGTGCGCCTTTGCGACGGAATGAAGTAGAATTGACACGCCGGCGCGACGAAGTCGAGCCAGCAGCGTCGAATAGTCGATGCCAGCCTTCCCGCGAGGCTAAGGAGAAAGCGAGCGTCACGGCCCAGTCGAGCGCGGCGGCCGCGAGTCCGCCGGCGGCCGACGCCAAGGCGGCCTCGCCGTCCGTTGAAAGCGGGGGGGGCTCACGGTGCCAAAGGGGGCTCGGACTTGGAGCCTCGAGGACGGAGGTTCGAGGCTTTCTGGTCGTCGGGGGCCCTCCTCGTCGCCGCGGCTGGACGCGGCTCGAACACGTGGTGCGCTTGGACCGCGGGGGAGGTCCTGGGACCAATTGTGAGTGGATCTTGATGATCGCGATAGTTGGAAGGTGTGATCAAAGGGAGTTTCAAGGCTTTCTTCCACCTGTTTGGGCCTCCTGGAGGCCTCCCGCGGCCGCGGCGGCTTGATCCGCTTCGACATTTGACCCCGAACGCACCTCTCAATGGGTGTGTGGTCGGCTGTTGACCCCAGGATCCAGAAACGCGCTCGAGGGCTTGGGAACTCAGAGGGCTCTCGAGATTCTGAGGCGCTACCTGGAACCTCGAGGATCGAGGTTCGACGCTTTTTGGCCCTCGGGGCCCTCCTCGTCGCCGCGGCTGGACGCGGCCCGACCATCTGGTCAGTTCGGACCCGAGTGGGGTCCAGGGGTCCATTTTTTGAGCGGGCTTGGGGTGGGGGAGGTGGCGCGGGGGAGGGAGCCTTGCCTTGTGTGTACCTCCCTCTCGCTTCGCTGCTGCCGTCTGCCTGGCCCCACCCATTTTATCCAGCATCACTCCTCCGCCTCTTTCGGTGGAGCTGCGACTGGTCTGTGACCCTGTTCAGTCGGCATCTCATTTCTTGGGAGTGGCCCCTGGCGTGGGTTCCTCCTGTTATTTTGGGCGTCGGCCAGACCCCGCTCAAAACGGATCCCCAGGTCCAAACGCACAAGTTTTTCGAGCTGCGTCCAGCCGTGGCGACGAGGAGGCCCTCCGAAGGCCAGAAAGCCTCGAACTTCGATCCTCGAGGTTTGAGGTCTGGTCCCGAGCGTGCGCCCCGTTTCGTTGCTGGAGCAGAAGTGTGCGTCCCCCTCTCGGAGGCACTTCTGGGAGCCTCGCAGAGAAGCTAGGAAAGCCCCCTCAAGGCTGTTGGAGCCCTGGCTCCGTCGTCGTTGGCGTTCAAGGCGTTCAAGGAGTTGAAGGTCTATGAAGCCCTCACGAGCATAGGCGTCAGGCGGGAGCCGCACGTGAAGTCCGAGACCGGCGGCGCGCAGAGGGGGGTGGGGCGAAGGGGGAGGCGTTTCAGAAAACAGGGGGTTTTGTTTTAACACACAAGCTTCTGGGGGTTTCGTAGAAGTCTCCCTGGGGCTTCTACGAAGCCCGTGCTTTCTAAGAAGCCTTCCCCTCTCGTTACTCCCCCCGTTGCGCGCCGCCGATGAGCACACAGGGACGAACGTCGGGGCGGGCGACAAGTTCCAGGTTAGTCAGGAGGTGGATGGGACCGGCGGGCAGCGGTACTTGAAGCTGTGCCACGCGCCCGGCTGGGTGTACACGCTTGGAGTGATGGGGCCACTTAAAGGCAAACCGGTCGTCAGGCTGGCGGCCTTGTAGAGACAAACCGGTCCTCGCGCTGGCGTGACCCAGCATGGAGGAGGAGGAGTCGAAGGGGGAGGAGGATGAGGTGGAGGTCGGCTAAAGACGCCCTCAGCGGTCCCCGGGACCATCGCATAACGACTCGGAGTGAAAGGCAGGAAGTAGGGGAAGTTGTCGGCACCTTCGGGGGTCACGTCTTGGGCTCCCAGGGGCTCCCAGAGGTTTCTCGAGATATTGGGTTGTTTTTGTCGATTTCTTGTCGATTTTTGACGAGCTCTTCCTCCCCCTCCAGACACGCCCTTAGAACCTCTCAGATCATGATGTTGATGATGATGATGATCATGATAATGATGATGATGATTATGTTTTCTTCCTCTGAGCCGGCCCAAAAGCTCTGTGCGAGTGGGTCGTGACCGGCACAAAAAAAACAGACGTCAGAGTCGGGCAGGACTGACAGAACCTGCCTGTGGCTTCGTTGTCTAAGCGCTCTCGAGCCTACATGGTAACGGATGTGCGCTGCATCTGCTGAGAATTGTATACAGAATTCAACAGCGGAGGTGTCTTGTCACCTCACCTAAGGACTCATAGGGCTCATAGGTCTCCTAGGGCTCCTAGGGCTCATAGGGCTCATAGGGCTCACAGGGCTCACAGGGCTCATAGGGCTCATAGGATCATAGGGCTCTTTCATAGGGCTCATAGGGCTCACAAGGCTCAGAGGGCTCAAAGGGCTCATAGGGCTCATAGTGCTCATGAGCTCATAAGGCTCATAGGGCTCATATGGCTCATAGGGCTCATAGGGCTCATAGGGGTCATAGGGCTCATAGGGCTCATAGGCCTCATAGGCCTCATAGGCCTCATTGGCCTCATAGGGCTCATAGGTCTCATAGGGCTCATAGGGCTCATAGGGCTCATAGGGCTCATTGGGCTCATAGGGCTCATAGGGCTCATAGGGCTCATAGGGCTCATAGGGCTCATAGGGCTCATAGGGCTCATAGGGCTCATAGGGCTTTCGGAGGCTTCGGGGCCTTTTTGAGGGTCCTGCAAGGTCCCGGGTGGGACCTTGCAGGACCCTCAAAAAGCCTTCCTGGAGGGACCTTCCTGGAGGGACCAGGGGGTATGCCTGCACGGCCATTCCGCTGAGGCACGAGGACTTCCTGGACCCGGGAGCACGTGCGGAGCCTGGCTGTCCTCCTGCCGCCCTCGTGTGCCGAATTGACGGCATGTTCGACATCCTCCCTCCGTACTCCGTCCTTCCTCCTCTCTCCTCCTTTCGCCCTCGCGGGCGAATTCCCCCCCTTCCTTCGCCCATCGCCCTCGCGGGCGAACATCCCGTCGCCCTCGCGGGCGAATCCCCGTGGCAGGACGCCGAATACCCCTAGCTGTCCTCCTGTCGCCCTCGCGGGCGAATCCCCTCGGATGGCTCCTGGGCCCAGAAACGTCCTCTGGAGGCCGAGCGGAGCGAAGACAGACGATCCTCCTCCTTCTCCTCGCTCCTCCTTCTCCCCCTCATCTTCCTTCGCGCCCGGGCACAGGGGATGTGAACATCCACTGACGGAACCATGGGCGCCGCCAGAAAACGTCGACGGAGCACAAATGTTTCCTGGAGCACCGCAGCACCACGCCGCACTCACGGGGGCGGGGACTTTTATTCTCAGGAGCCGACTTTGCTTTCTGGGTGGCCCGACAACGCTGGTCACATATGCGTGCCGGCACTATGTTCTCGCCTCAGCGCCGGATCCTTTCAAGTTCCGAATGTTGCGCCCGCTGTGTCGCCTGCCACAGTGCAAGCTCAGGATACGATCCCCCCCGCGCGCCAGCAACAGTACTTGTTAATATGTTCCAGTAAGTTGTGCATGAAATTGTTCTCGGCGTCTGATTTGCTGACTCCGACCGTGATTCCCTGTGCACTTTTCGTGCTTGGCTGCATCAATTGTGCGACGTGCCCTCGGACGTTGCTTGGCGGCTCACGCGCAGGAGCGGGGCGCAATACTAGTACTACTACTGCGATTACTACTACTACTACTACTACTACTACTACTACAACAACTACTACTACTACTACTACTACTACTACTACTACTACCACTACTACTACTACTATTACTACTACTACGAGTTCTACTACTACTACTACTACAACTACTACTACTACTACTACTACTACTACTACTACTACTACTACTACTACTACTACTACTACTACTACTACTATTACTACTACTACTACTACTACTACTACTACTACTACTACTACTACTACTACTACTACTACTACTACTACTACTACTACTACTACTACTACTACTACTACTACTACTACTACTACTACTACTACTACTACTACTACTACTACTACTACTACTACTACTATACTACTACTACTACTACACTACTACTACTACTACTACTACTACTACTACTACTACTACTACTACTACTACTACTCTACTACTACTACTACTACTACTAGTACTACTACTACTACTACTACTACTACTACTACTACTACTACTACTACTACTACTACTACTACTACTACTACTACTACTACTACTACTACTACTACTACTACTACTACTACTACTACTACTACTACTACTACTACTACTACTACTACTACTACTACTACTACTACTACTACTACTACTACTACTACTACTACTACTACTACTACTACTACTACTACTACTATTAGTACTACTACTAGTTCTACTACTACTACTACCACTACTACTACTACTAGTAATACTACTTTTCTACTGCTACTACTTCTTCTTCTATTACTACTACTACTACTACTACTACTACTACTATTACTACGACTACTACTACTACTACTACTACTACTACTACTACCACTACTACTACTACTACTACTACTACTACTATTACTACTACTACTACTACTACTACGACTACTACTACTACTACTACTACTACTACTACTACTACTACTACCACCACTACTACTACTACTGCAACAACTAATACTGGTACGACTACACCTACGACTAGTGTCCAGCGACGATGGGGGAAAGGGCGTCGGCGCTCCCATTTGCTGACGAATTCTCCTTGGAGGAGCTATGGGAGCAGTCTTACACGCGCACTCCGCGGAGACGCGGTGGTGGATCGGTCATGCCCCTCGGCCCCACCCGGCATCCAGAGCTCCTGGGGGGGTGGGTGGGTGCTGGCAGGCGGCGGGCAGGTCGGCACAATGAACGGAGCTGCGGTGCTTTGTCACCGCGGTCCCCCCCCGAGGTTCCGCCGTCGTTCCATCTCCATCCGCGGGATGGGGCGAAAGCGAGCTGGGGGAAGCGCGCGCGGAGACGCGCCAGTCATGTGCTGGACAGCGTGTCCGTTGCCGCCACCCTTCGGTGTTGCAGTTACTATCACTGGCATGTATTCCCAGAGCCCCAGAGGCCCGAGAGGGTGAGTACACCTAATACACCGGGTGTCTGGGGGTCCCCTGGCGTCCTAAGGCGCCATAGGCCTACAGGAGGCGTTTTTTTTGTCCTTCGCCAAGGACGGGTTCAAAGCCTGTGCCACATTTGAGGAGTCTGGCGGCGGAGTTCCCAACAGAACATCGAAGGATCTGCGAATGGAGAAAAGACGCATCGTATGGGGGTGTTTTCGAAAACAAACAGGTGATTGTTCTAGCTTGTTGCCGTGCGCCGTCGTTGTCACGCGGTCGTTGTTTAAGCCGTCCGCTGCCTTCGGCGTCTTCAGCCATTTGTCAGAGTCTGAAGCAGGTTTTCTTTCCTGGGATCGGCAGCATTATCGAGCTCCGAGGCCTTGCCATGTCGACGTGTGGCCCATCTTCCAGGCTGCCTTGCCGTCTTCCAGATGTACTCGCAGAGCTTGAAGCTACGGCCTCAAAGCTCTGCACTCGCGGCAAGGGCCTTCTCGTTGCCGATTTCAGCGCCGGTCCATGGGTGGGCTCTCCTGACGCACAGGTGTCGCAAATTCCGGACGTGGTTGAAGCGCGAGGCGCGTACAGGACCATGTGCTTCACCACGCCGGGCCTCGGCGACTACATTAGTGGCGTGATACTGCACGAGGAGGCACTGTACCAGAATGACGCGTCAGGAAAACCGCTAGTGGACCTGATCAGCTCCAATGGCATGGTTCCAGGCGTGACGTTGGATCGGTCGTATAGTCCCACAGGTTTATGTGGCACTGCAGTGGGGCCGTTGGGGCACCCTGAGGTGTGCACCGGTGGTCTGGACGATCTGCAGCGCTTCTGTTCGCAGTCTTACGCACGAGGGGCGCGGTTTTCGAAGCGGAGAGCAATTATACAGATTGATCAGCAGATGGGCTTGCCGAGTAACCTGGCCGTGGCCACTGCAGTGCACAACCTGGCTCGGTACGCGTCCACGAGCCAGAGCGAAAGGTTGGTGCCCCTCGCGGAGATCGTCTTTGTGCCCCTGGGCAAACACGACGTCAGCATCTGCGCGAGCGTCGTCGAGAATGTGTTGTCGGATCTGGTCAAGACTTTCAGGCTGCACCACATCTGGCTCGAAGGATGCCTTCTGTGTCTCACTGCGGTCCACAGCGGGCGCGCCGGGCCAAAGACGCCCATGGAGACCATCTCGTCGTATACCGCTCGGTCTTTGCTTCGCGCGTTACCCCCGGCTCTCCCCGGGATATTCCTACTTAATACGTGGGTCCATTCCGACGAAAATGAGGAACAGCTTGCGTGTATGACTTTGGCTTCCATCACGACCCTTTTCGTGCGTGAGCCCCCGTGGAACGTTTCATTCTCAGTCGGCGTTCCTCTTCAACAGACTTGCGTCGCCGTTTGGGCGGGCGAAGAGAGAAACAGGAGGGCTGCTCAGGCGGCTTTGAGGACGATGGCGAGGGAGTGTTCAGAGGCCACCCTCAGCATGAACAGCCCCGATACGGATTTGCGCGCGTCGTCTTCGAAGCGTTTCAGGTCTGGCCCCGCACCATGTACTCCGCCAGTTTCATTCGACCTGGCGGAGCAAAATTCAATTTTTCGGGCTGCCTTGCGAGAGATGCTGGGCCCGGATGCGGCCTTGCCCTGACATGGGTGCTCCCTGCCGTCTCGATGGGCGCAGTGGATTCAGCACTTTACGTTTAAAGTGCAGCGAGTGTTCCAGCGGCGTCGAGGTCGGAATGCCGATTGGCAGTGGCCTCTGGGGCACTCTCTGTCGTCCGGAGTAATATGCGGTACTACGCGCAGCGGCGAGAAGTGCCGATGCCGTTTCATGCTCATTAGGGCGCGCAGCGGCGAGAAGTGCCGATGCCGTTGTCTGAGTGGAAGGAGAATGTCCCTACTCCACGAGTCTCCCAAAGGGCATGCCGCATCCACTCCTTGGCATGAATAGATTCCACAGAGCATTAACGGGTGCCCCGCCAGGGTCTTCGGGCTGCGTCTGGAGAGTTTTCCGAGAGCCCCACGTGGGCTCCGCAGCAACCTACGGCGGTCCCCAGTGATTTTCCGAAAGCGCCCCCCAAACGTCCCCGAGATTGCCCACGAGTGTTCGGGGTTACCCTTTGAGGGGTCCGAGGTGGCCTCACTGGAGGACCTTGGTCAGCCCCGATAGTGGCCCGAGAGGCATGCGAGAGCCCATGGAGGTCCCCGTATGCGACGCCATGCGAGGCTCGAACTCAACCTGGGAGTGGCCGTGCGAACGTATGGCGGGGGGGGCGCTTTCAAATCGCGCGGCTGCGGCCAGAAGGGCCGAGGCTGAGGCGACTCCGTCACTCCGTGACTGTGGCGAGAAAGGCTGCGTCACCGTTGGGTTTTAGTGGCGGTTTTTGGGAACTTCTGCGCAGCGTTCAAAAGTACGCTCCAGACGGGGTCCAGGCACATTTCTCATTAACATCGCGGCCCCCCGACCATGTGCGCACACTCCCAAAGGGGGTGGGGGGCTGGGGGAGGGATGGAGAGGGACGGAGAGCGAAAGAGAGGGAGAGACAGAGAGGAAACGAGCGAGTGAGAGAGATAGAGAAAAGAGAGAGAGTGAGAGAGAGGGAGTGTGAGGTTGGACGTGGGCAGAGAGCACGCGGCCACACGGCGTTACGCGAAGACGTAGCATCGGCCCCTGAGGTTGCCAAGCTCCGAGGGGGGCATTGTGTCACGCGGTGCCGTTGCGGCCTGGATCCATCCTTTTGGCGCGTGCGGCTCGCCAAACAGAGCAGCCGCGCGTGGCATATGTATCATAGGTGTCTCGTAGCGGGCGGCGAGAAGAGCCGCCTGCGGGCCCACATGTCGAAACCGAGGCGGATGGCGTGGTTTGGGCGAGCGTTGGAAATATCATAGCTGGCCACTCACGCGGCCGTCGGTTGCAATTGCGTCGCTTCGCCAGATTCGGCGACACCGATGGTGGGAGGGGGGTTGGGGGGGCGAATGGAGTGCGAGGTGCGTCGCGCTCCTCCCGCTTCCTTCTGTTTTCTCCGAGTATTCCTCCACCTGCGCGTCCTCCAGGGTAGAACCACGTGCAGGTGTGTGTTAATTATGATCATCATGTTGCCGTCAACAATTTTTCTCGTGACAGCTGTGCTGACGGGGTGCTGTTCTGGTAGAAGCGTGTTCTGGCCGAGGGGTTACCACACCGAGATGTACGCACAAAAAGCTGTTTTTTTGCCGTTTCGCTTGAGACATAATGCAACTGTTGCTTCTGAGCTGTCCGGGATTGAGCGTCTCGCCTGAGACATCCTCGGAAAAGTGGGCTCCCGGACGCCGTGCGCGAGGTGGTCCGAGCCGTTTCGCCTGAGACATTTTCGCAACTCTGGCCTCCAAGATGCTGTGCGCGAGGTGGTCCGGGCCGTTTCTCTTGAGACATCGTCCCAAGTCTGGGCTCCCATATGTCCTGACCTGAGGTGGTGCGGCCCCCAGTCTCGTCTGCTAGCTAGGAGCTTTCACTGTTCCCCCCAAACAGCTGTGCTGACTGGGTGCTGTCGTGGTAGAAGCCTGCTTCGGCCGAGGGGTTATCACGCCGGCTCGTGTTGCACGCGGCTCCGCTCCTCGTGTCGGCACACCCTTCACACGGGTTGTCTCCTACAGGGAGATACACAGAATGCCCGTGTGGTCGGGTGTACATGCGGCGCCGCCACACTTGGCGCGACGCTGCACAGAGTTCGTAGCCTTATAAGGGCTCCACCTCTGCAGGTATCCTTGCAGGGCTCATCCAGACAGATCGCGGGGACTCGTTAGGAACGCCGCTTCTGACCGCGCTCCGCCGGTGTCGTCGCCCGTGTTGTCCAATTGATCACTGGCCCCCGCGACGCGCTGAGGGCGGTACACTTCCACATGAACCATTTTCGCGGTTGTAGGACTTGCTTGCACAGAGCCGTCTGCGCGCGAAGGGGGGGTCCACTATCCACGCCCAGCCTCGTCCGATCTCGCTATGTCGGGTGGCGTATGCGCCATGACGGCGCCTCTGCCGGCCGCTGGTGGGTCGACGCGCCGGGACATTAAAGACCACTTGGAAGCGACGCTTACAGCTGCGGAGTTGTCCACCGTGGGCAAGCGTAACGCGGGTGGCCTAGGCACTTTGTTCGCTTTGAAATAACGTTTGCGTGGAACGACGACGACGAGAGTGGCAACAACGACGATGGCGGCGGCGGCGATTGCATATGACATTGTCAGTGGAAACCGTGGTGTGTGTCGGCGAGGGGCAAAGATCGCAAGCAGTGGCGCCCGTGGCGTCGGGTGCGGATTCGGCGCCCAACGCGCCGGGTGAGGCGGTCACAGCACGGCGGTTGGTACTTTTGGGGTTCTGATATGCTGGAACACACTCGCGAGGGCCAACCCGACAGGACGACGACGACGGCAGACATGTTGCCTGGTTGGTCCGAGTGGGCAGGGGAGTGGAGTAGGAAGAGGGTAAGCGGGACGCAGCAGTGGAACACGAAGAAGCGGAGTAGGAAGAGGGGAAGGGGGAGGTCGAGGCATAGACGCGCGGACGGAAGGAGGAAATAGGAGGCCTAGGATTGATTGCTGGATAGGGGCACAGTAAGTGGAGATGTCCAGAGGATGCTCGGGTGCTGCGCGGTGTCTCCTGGGGTGTGTCATACAAGGTCATGCGTGATTGGGGGAGACGTCCTGTACGCTTCGCGGCGGGCGAGGGAACCCCCCATCGGTCCGGGGTGATTGTTGAAAGGCGGGTGGAGGGGGGGGGGGGGGGGGACCGGGTGGTTTTGTTTCGAGGGCTGGGCGGGGGAAGGGGTGGAGGTGTCAGAGAAGCGTCCGTGCGGGTCGCCGCGCGGGTTTGAGTTGTGGCCTAGCGGCGGGAGTGTAGGGGCACTGTCGTGGCTGTTGCCGAGTCTTTGTTTGCGAGCAGGGGCGGGGCGCCAAGGTCCAGGACGGGGTTATTTACATCGAGCTGAAGTCCAGGGCCCACATGGACGCTATCGTTACCAAGTTGCGCGCGGATCCTATCGACACCGCCGAGTTCGGCGACCGGCAGGCGCGCGACGGACGTCTTCGGCAGAAACGTCGCCGGGGTTGCCAATGTGCGGAACCGTTTACTGTGGGCGGGAAGGGGGGGGGGGAAGAGATGAGCGTAACTGGAGCGGAGGGAGGGTCCGTCGTCTGGTCGTCGTGGGACGCCAGGGTCACTTGGGCTTTCACAAAGTCATTACAGTGTCGCCTGGCCCCCTTTGAATCTTTCCGGCACGTCATGCGAGTGGGCCGAGGACCGTCTGACCAGGAGGAGAGGCCACGACGGGCCGCGCGTTAGCCACTGGGTGCCAGTGGGTCCACGTTATGGTGTGAGTGTCTCTATAGTATGTGGCCGCAGAAGAGTGTGTGCTGGGGCCTTTTTCCTCACCCTCCCGTCTTCGGTTGCACGTGGAACCGCACGTTCAGTGACAGGCCGCGGAGCACCTCTTCGGGCAGGCGTGTGCGGGACAGCGCTTGTTTACTGAAGTCCTTGTCGCATTGTGCCTGCGCCCGCGATGGGTTGGGTTCCGAGGAGGCGGGTTATTTTACATGGCATCAGTGCCCCATCGCGTTTTTCGGGAGAGCCACGAGAGCAACATCCCCAGTCCGTCAGTATCTCAGGTTGGCCAACTAGTCCTCGGATCTGTTTGTGTCGTCCGCTGCAGAATGGCTACCAGGGGTGCGCCACTGCGTGCGGCCGCGCCCAGGTGAACGTCAAGAGGAGGCAGTCCAGGGTGCGTCATCACAGACGGCGCAGCTATTGGCGCTCTTCGGCACGGGCGGCAGCAGCAAGGCGAAGAGGAAGTTCGCCAAGTCAATCGCAGGCGCGCGAGGGGCACTGTGGCGGGGTAGCAAATAGCGGTCGTCGAAGGTGGAGCATGTATGCCAGGAGTGACAGTAGAGTGTGCGGGGGACACCAGCGGTGGGAGCGGCGGCGTGCGCGTGCTTCCTCGGTGCGGTGTTCTCCGTGCCAGGTGTCTCCTGAAGGCAACTGGCGCGACGGGGTAAATGTTCACTGTTGGAGCTCGCTGATTGCGCGGGGCCGGGCGGGGGAGGGGAGGTGGGATGGCGGGTGGAGGAGGGAGGGGGTGCTTGCACAGCAAGAGCAAATGGGAGGCCGGCGGGGGAGGCACCTTGGAGATTTCCACGAGAGCGTCTTCGTCGGGCTTGCGGCTGAAAGGCATGACCGAGCAGAAGGCGGAGAGTGAGGAACGCGATGAGGACGGGGAGGAGTGACCGCCGGGGCTGTCTGCCAGCATCGGGCAGTTTTCCCGGCAATCCGTGCTTCTGGCACACAGCCGCGTTGTATTCCTGTTGATGTTCGAAGACGCGGGCGGCGGAGGGGAGGCATTGGGAAGGGAATGGGGGGGTGGTGGAGGACAGGGAGGATGTATGGATGTGCCAAAGCAGGTCGAAAGGGGATGGGGGGAGGGAGTAGACGTGGAGGAGGGGCAGGCAGATGGAAGGAATCAGAGGCGAAAGGGGTGGGGGCACGGACAATGCGCGGTTGAAGACTGGTGGGGGCGATGGGGGTTGGCGTCGAGATGGGGAGTGGGAGGGTGGGGGGGCCGGCGAGGCATGGCGAGAAGGGTCGATGTTGGCGCGTTTGCTTTGCGTGGCCATGGCGAGAACGGCCGTGGCATGTTCGCGCGTTTGTTCACCGCGTGGCCATGGCGAGAACGGCCGTGGTACCGGTGGGCAAGTGGCGCCGCGTGAGCTCGCAGAGTGCACCGCGGCGAGAATGCCGCTGGTAGGTGCGCGCGGCTCGTCCTACAAACGGTCGAGCGTGCTCGCCAGGGCTCGCTTTTGGGCCTTCTTGGCGGCTGTGGAGGCCACCGACTTACACTGCGGAGCGATTTTGGGCTGACCTTCCTGGAGGGACCAGGGGGTATGCCTGCACGGCCATTCCGCTGAGGCACGAGCGCTTCCTGGATCCGGGAGCACGCGCGGAGCCTGGCTGTCCGTCTGCCGCCCTCGTGTGCCGAATTTACGGCATGTTCGACATCCTCCCTCCGTACTCCGTCATTCCTCTTCTCTCCTCCTCTCGCCCACGCGGGCGAATTCCCCCCCTTCTTCGCCCGTCGCCCTCGCAGGCGAATATCCCTTCGCCCTCGCGGGCGAATCCCCGTGGCAGGACGCCGAATACCCCTGGCTGTCCTCCTGTCGCCCTCGCGGGCGAATCCCCTCGGATGGCCCCTGGGCCCAGAAACGGCCTCTGGAGGCCGAGCGGGGTGAAAACAAACGATCCTCATCCTTATCCTCGTTCCTCCTTCTCCCCCTCATCTTCCTTCACGTCAGGGAACCGGGGGTGTGAACATCCACTGACGGAACCATGGGCGCCTCCAGGAAACGTCAACGGAGCACCAATGTTTTGGAGCACCACAGCACCACGCCGCACCCACAGGGGGGGACTTTTATTCTCAGGAGCCGACTTCGCTTTCTGTGTGGCCCGACAACGCTGGTCACATATGCGTGCCGGCATTATGCTCTCGCGTCAGCGCCGGCTTCGCTCCAAGTTCCGAATGCTGCGTCCGCTCTGGCGCCGCCGCAGTGCAAGCTCAGGATAAGTTCCCCCTGCGTGCCAGCAACAGTACTTGTTTTATCTGTTCCAGTAAGTTGTGCGTGAGATTGTTCTCGGCGTTTGATTTAATGACTCCGATTGTGCTTCCCTGTGCAGTGCTCGTGCTTGGCCGCAGTACTTGTGCGACGTGCCCTCGGACGGTGCTGGGCGGCTCCCGCGCAGGAGCGGGACGCAATGCTGCTTGGACTGTTGCCCTAGCGCAGCCCTAGCCCAATGCGCCATGGCCCAATAGCCCCGTAACCACGTAGCCCCGATTGGCTTAGTAGCCCGAATACAGCTCTTTACCCCAGTAGCCTTATATTCCATGTAGCCTTACATTCCTATCGCCCTTTGGTCCTATTGCCCCCGAGCTCTATAACCCTATTGTCCTGCAGCCCCATAGCCCCAGTCCCGCAGCCTTATAGTTCTAGAGCCCTGTAGCCTCATAGCCGCACAGCCGCACAAGGCGTAGTAGACCTATTGCATCGAGTTTTCGGGGGTGCCCGTGCTCCCGGGTGTCAAGGCCCTATAGCCCTACAGCCCTCTTGCCATGTAGCCGTCACATCGCAGTATCCAGATAGTCCTAGAGGCTTGTAGCCGTATAGCCCTATAGCCCTGTAGGAGGGCCGGACGACGCCCAAATCTTTCATTTGAATTAGTTTTCCACGATGTTTTTCGCTTTCTCGCGTGTTTCGCCCCAAGACGGGCGAAGACGGTCCGAGGGCGCCCAGAGTTGGCCGAAGAGGCACCAAAAAGCTCCAACACGAACCCGGAGAGCCTGGCAATTGCCCAAGAGAAGCCCCAGACGGCCCAGCTGGCCTCGACTTTGCCCAAAACTGGCCGATGACGGCGACGAGGACGACGACAACGACCCCGTCGACAGCGACGACGGCGGTGGCGGCGCCGACAACGACAACGACGACGACGACGACGTCGGCAGTAAAATGTGGCAGCGGCGAAGACGTCGACGACGATGTTTACAACGACGTCGAAGGCGACGACGATGACAACGACAACGACGATGTCGACGAGGGCAGCCGGTAACCGTCCCCCAGGGGGGAACCCGCACCCCGGGAACCGTCCAATATGGCCGCACGCCGGCCCCAAATGGCTTCAAAACGGCTCCCGAGGACGCAAATATTGTTTTAGATGGGCCAAAAAAGGCCCCATGGCAGCGGCGAAGACGTCGACGACGATGTTTACAACGACGTCGAAGGCGACTACGATGACGACGACATCGACGACGTCGACGAGGGCAGCCGGTAACCGTCCCCCAGGGGGGAACCGGCACCCCGGGAACCGGCCAATATGGCCTCACGACGGCCCCAAATGGCTTCAAAACGGCTCCCGAGGACGCAAAAATTGCTTTAGATGGGCCAAAAAGGCCCCAAGCTTCACGCCCCCAAGAGGCCCTAAGAGATTCAAAAAAGGCTCGAAGAGGCTTCCACGCGGGCTTCAAGAGGCCGTAACCACCCCAAATCCAATGTCCAATTTGAAGCCATAGGTTTTTGGAGATATCGCATTTTCGCTTCTGGTGGGCCTCTGAGGCGTCTGGTAGCCCCCATGGGGCCCAAGAGAGCCCCAAGAGGAGCCTCAGGGCTCCAAGTCGCGCCCAAGAGCGCTCCGCAACCATCTTGGCGCAAGCAATCTTTGATCCAAGCGTAACGCACAATCACAATACTGTAATTCCTGTATGCAGGCCGTTATCCTTGGGCCGTGGATTCTCTCGATTTTGCTGTACGCAGCTGTCACCGTTGTTGCAGTACTACGCACAGCCAAAGAAGCACATGCTGTCGGAAAGCTTCAGCGGGATGCTAAATGTTGGCGCCTGCTCCCCCTTGTTGCGGCATTGTTCGCCGTACAACCACTCCTCTAGGTTGACTTCTTGACTGCCTTCGCCCCACGGTGCACCATGGTCAATTGGGAAGTATTCCCAGTCATCTGCGAGCTGCCACGCATATGGTACAACTATTGGCAAGGAGCTTGTGGCCCAGACGGTCCAGGGCAGCGTGGGAGTATTCCGTGACAAGCGGAACTAACAGCGGAGGGTTCATAGTCGACGGGCATGGTTGTAGGACATGCCCCGTTGGTGGACATCGAAAACAGAAACAGCCGGACATGTTGCACCGTTTCGCTACCGATGGTGTTTTTCTGTCCACGCACGTCGACGAATCACGCTCTCGTACTCATGGGGGGGCGTTCGCGTTCGTCACGGGGTGTTGACGCATGCCGCGGTTGCAAACGCGCAGTACTGTGCTGTGCTCACAGAGGCGCATGCCAGCGCACACCTGCACCCTTATCACTTCTTGCATCTATCGAACACGTCATCTCGTGGTGCGATGCGGCTTTGGTCGATGCGGGGGGCGTTCGAGAGAAAATCTCCACTGCCTGTCGTCTGTGCATGTGCACAGAGGCGGACTTGTATTACTGGGCGGAGAAGACCCACTGGGCCATCGGTACCGACTGCGAGGTTGACAGGGCGTGGATTTGTTCTACTGGACCCGACATGAGCGCCTTGAGCCCCGTGGGCGTGAGCCAGTGGTTGATCCACGACGGCACTGCGTGGGTTGCCGCGCGCGGCCTCAGCGTCGTGCCACAGGCACTCGCGCCCTCGCTTGCTTTCCATATTGGTTTCTCAGTCTCCCCCGCGATCCATGCCTGAACCCCTCCAGACTTCTGCTGGGTTCCGTGCGTTTTTCGGCAGAGGCATGATTTTCGTGGCGACCAGGTAAACCCGGGACCCATTGCGGCGCATGGTTTTGTTTTTCTGTCCGCGCACGCGTTGCCACTGGAACCCTGAAGGCTTTATGATTATAGCCCTTACGAGCGCACCCACTCCCAGCACTTCTCTCGCCCCCTCCTCTCCCCACTTCCAGCGCGGAACTTCAGATTGTTCGCTCTGCGAGGGGGGTCGTGGGATTCTTGGCCCGCGTGGCCCGCCAGGCTTGTCGGCGGTGTACGGAGCTTCTGGGGGGTTTCAGGCACCGCCACGTAGAGCCCCCCCCAGGCGACGCACAGCGAGGCGGCGGCGGCGGCCAACCGTGGTGGCGGCCCCCCTGCCGGTGCCGCGGCAGTGGCGGCCGATGTTCCCGAGCCTGCGGACGGCCAGCGGGCGCTCGGGGCAACGGTGGCCGCGGCGTCGAAGACGGGCGTCGTGAAGACCTGGTGCTGGGACAAAAGGTTCGGGTTTATTTGTCCGGACGACGGCGGCGAGGACCACTTTTTCCACCAGTCGGCCTTGGTGGGCTGCAGCGAGATCGACGTAGGCACCAGGGTGCACTACGAGACGGTGTACGACGAGCGGAGAGGCAAGCGGCGCGCCCGCAGTGTGTCTGCAATGTTCAAGGGCGACGCCGGCGGCGACAAGCAGCACTGCACAGCTCAGGCGACCGCGTCGACATGGCAGGAGCGAGCGGTAGGGGGATGGCGACAGGGGGAAGAGGAGAGGGAGGTGGAGGAGGAGGAGGAGGAGGAGGATAATAGGAGGAGGAGAAGGTGAGGAGGCAGCGGTAAAAGGAGGAAGGGGGGAGGGGGGATGTTGCCTTTGCCGTCGACGCCCGTTCCTGCTTGGTTCTGCGTTCCGGCGTTGTCGGAAGGCTCAGTGAAAATAGCGAGGAGGAGCAAGAGCGAGATGAGTACGAGGAGATGAAAGGAGCGGGGAACAGGCGTCGACTGCGTTAGGAGCGGCCTGGCGTGGCCCGGGGTCCGGGCCGCTCCCGGGCTCCGAGCGTCGCCGCGCCGCTCCTGGCAAGGGGCGCTGGGGTGCGCCATGGCGACGGAATGAAGTAGAATTGACACGCCGGCGCGACGAAGTCGAGCCAGCAGCGTCGAATAGTCGATGCCAGCCTTCCCGCGAGGCTAAGGAGAAAGCGAGCGTCACGGCCCAGTCGAGCGCGGCGGCCGCGAGTCCGCCGGCGGCCGACGCCAAGGCGGCCTCGCCGTCCGTTGAAAGCGGGGGGGGCTCACGGTGCCAAAGGGGGCTCGGACTTGGAGCCTCGAGGACGGAGGTTCGAGGCTTTCTGGTCGTCGGGGGCCCTCCTCGTCGCCGCGGCTGGACGCGGCTCGAACACGTGGTGCGCTTGGACCGCGGGGGAGGTCCTGGGACCAATTGTGAGTGGATCTTGATGATCGCGATAGTTGGAAGGTGTGATCAAAGGTTCGAACCTCGAGCTTCCAGGGAGTTTCAAGGCTTTCTTCCACCTGTTTGGGCCTCCTGGAGGCCTCCCGCGGCCACGGCGGCTTGATCCGCTTCGACATTTGACCCCAAACGCACCTCTCAATGGGTGTGTGGTCGGCTGTTGACCCCAGGATCCAGAAACGCGCTCGAGGGCTTGGGAACTCAGAGGGCTCTCGAGATTCTGAGGCGCTACCTGGAACCTCGAGGATCGAGGTTCGACGCTTTTTGGCCCTCGGGGCCCTCCTCGTCGCCGCGGCTGGACGCGGCCCGACCATCTGGTCAGTTCGGACCCGAGTGGGGTCCAGGGGTCCATTTTTTGAGCGGGCTTGGGGTGGGGGAGGTGGCGCGGGGGAGGGAGCCTTGCCTTGTGTGTACCTCCCTCTCGCTTCGCTGCTGCCGTCTGCCTGGCCCCACCCATTTTATCCAGCATCACTCCTCCGCCTCTTTCGGTGGAGCTGCGACTGGTCTGTGACCCTGTTCAGTCGGCATCTCATTTCTTGGGAGTGGCCCCTGGCGTGGGTTCCTCCTGTTATTTTGGGCGTCGGCCAGACCCCGCTCAAAACGGATCCCCAGGTCCAAACGCACAAGTTTTTCGAGCTGCGTCCAGCCGTGGCGACGAGGAGGCCCTCCGAAGGCCAGAAAGCCTCGAACTTCGATCCTCGAGGTTTGAGGTCTGGTCCCGAGCGTGCGCCCCGTTTCGTTGCTGGAGCAGAAGTGTGCGTCCCCCTCTCGGAGGCACTTCTGGGAGCCTCGCAGAGAAGCTAGGAAAGCCCCCTCAAGGCTGTTGGAGCCCTGGCTCCGTCGTCGTTGGCGTTCAAGGCGTTCAAGGAGTTGAAGGTCTATGAAGCCCTCGCGAGCATAGGCGTCAGGCGGGAGCCGCACGTGAAGTCCGAGACCGGCGGCGCGCAGAGGGGGGTGGGGCGAAGGGGGAGGCGTTTCAGAAAACAGGGGGTTTTGTTTTAACACACAAGCTTCTGGGGGTTTCGTAGAAGTCTCCCTGGGGCTTCTACGAAGCCCGTGCTTTCTAAGAAGCCTTCCCCTCTCGTTACTCCCCCCGTTGCGCGCCGCCGATGAGCACACAGGGACGAACGTCGGGGCGGGCGACAAGTTCCAGGTTAGTCAGGAGGTGGATGGGACCGGCGGGCAGCGGTACTTGAAGCTGTGCCACGCGCCCGGCTGGGTGTGCACGCTTGGAGTGATGGGGCCACTTAAAGGCAAACCGGTCGTCAGGCTGGCGGCCTTGTAGAGACAAACCGGTCCTCGCGCTGGCGTGACCCAGCATGGAGGAGGAGGAGTCGAAGGGGGAGGAGGATGAGGTGGAGGTCGGCTAAAGACGCCCTCAGCGGTCCCCGGGACCGTCGCATAACGACTCGGAGTGAAAGGCAGGAAGTAGGGGAAGTTGTCGGCACCTTCGGGGGTCACGTCTTGGGCTCCCAGGGGCTCCCAGAGGTTTCTCGAGATATTGGGTTGTTTTTGTCGATTTCTTGTCGATTTTTGACGAGCTCTTCCTCCCCCTCCAGACACGCCCTTAGAACCTCTCAGATCATGATGTTGATGATGATGATGATCATGATAATGATGATGATGATTATGTTTTCTTCCTCTGAGCCGGCCCAAAAGCTCTGTGCGAGTGGGTCGTGACCGGCACAAAAAAAACAGACGTCAGAGTCGGGCAGGACTGACAGAACCTGCCTGTGGCTTCGTTGTCTAAGCGCTCTCGAGCCTACATGGTAACGGATGTGCGCTGCATCTGCTGAGAATTGTATACAGAATTCAACAGCGGAGGTGTCTTGTCACCTCACCTAAGGACTCATAGGGCTCATAGGTCTCCTAGGGCTCCTAGGGCTCATAGGGCTCATAGGGCTCACAGGGCTCACAGGGCTCATAGGGCTCATAGGATCATAGGGCTCTTTCATAGGGCTCATAGGGCTCACAAGGCTCAGAGGGCTCAAAGGGCTCATAGGGCTCATAGTGCTCATGAGCTCATAAGGCTCATAGGGCTCATATGGCTCATAGGGCTCATAGGGCTCATAGGGGTCATAGGGCTCATAGGGCTCATAGGCCTCATAGGCCTCATAGGCCTCATTGGCCTCATAGGGCTCATAGGTCTCATAGGGCTCATAGGGCTCATAGGGCTCATAGGGCTCATTGGGCTCATAGGGCTCATAGGGCTCATAGGGCTCATAGGGCTCATAGGAGCAGTAGAATTGCCGAGGAAACACTGCGCCTTCAAACGTTGTTGGGAGGGCGACTGGACGCCTTGCCTCTGGCATGGAGCTTCGGACGCAGACCTATGCGCTCACCTGCTGCAGGAGCATCGTGAGCAGCTCGAGGACATCGCAACCTCGCTGGATTGCGTTTCTGCCGAAGGCGAGAAGAGCGAGGAGTTGCGCTACCTGTCTGCGTACAACGAGGTCTTGGCATGGAAGGTACGTCAAGGAGCTCCTCTCGCCGCACTTGCCATTGACCGACGATGTCTCCGTGCATATGCAGAAGGGTTGGGGGAGGAGGGAGTGTGTTCTTTGGTGTGTATGGTGTGCGCGCGGAAATTCCCTCACGTGGATGGGCGCCCTGGGAATCCAATTACGTGGCAGAAGGTGTCCCCGAATTCGGATGGCATCTTCGGACTGCCTGGCTCGTTCGTCAGAAAGCACTTGTCCGTAGACAGTTATGTGGATCGATGCGGTCAGGTCGGAAGCGACGTGCATCTGCGGGATCACGCGGAGGAGTTTGAAGAGTGGCAAGCAACGATCGCGTCGGGCGATGGCCCCGTGAAGGTGTTGTGTTGCCCCGAAGATCTGCGCTGCAGCACGGAATCGTGGCACGAAGGGAACGAGGTATGCGATCGTTGCGAGGCGCCCCTTTGCGAGGAATGCCGAACGGGTATGATTGGGCCGAGAGGAGAAGCGGTCGTGCCACCTGCAGCTCTCGCTAATGACATGATGACGTTCTACTCGCCGGAAGAGCTATTCGCAGGAAACGTAACGCTGCTCGAGATGATTTGTGCGTCCGTGTGCGTGACTTCGATGGTATGTTTCACCCTGGAGAAGCGGTATCGCAACGAACGATCTTTTGACATGGAGGCGGGGAACAACACGCGTCGTATGGCTGCTCGCGGGAACGCGACGTCCTTCCCGATGCCGTGGACGGACATGCTCGCGCAGCTGACCGCCTTGGAGGAAGGGGCGTCGAAGGCAAGGCCGCCGTCGGTGCCGCGGACAGGCAAAGAACTGGCAGACATAGTGTCAGTGATATTGAAGTCCGGGGGAGACGACGATACGGCAGCGAGCATGGCGAAGTTCATACATCAGGCAGTAGTCCGTCGGGATGTGGTCGTAAAGCTGATCGAGGGGGCGAAAAAGCGTGGGCACCGAGCGTATCAGCACGTTTGCATGGAAGATGTGCGAAAAAAAGCTGCGGAGCTGCCTGATGGTGAGGTGCCGCCCGAGATCATGCGTTTGGTGCCTTTGGACAACGAGCTGGACAAGATACAGATGCAGAAGGCGGCGACGCCAGTTCCGCGCCCGGATGGGTTGCAGGAAGCGGCGGAGATCTTGGAAACGGCGAAAGGCAACGCCGTGGTTCTGGAGAAGAGCAGCTTCGATGACGGGGATATCAATGCCCAGCGCGTGGAAGCCTTACGAAGTTTTGTACAGAGGGTGTCGCCAGAATGCGAACACGATGGAACCAGCGAGCGCACGGATCATAGCGAGAGTGAGTCGGAGCACGAAGGTGCCCGAGCGAAGCGCCCGCGCGAAGGCGGGCGAGAAACGGAGCCCGACGTCGCGCCGGCGAAGGAGAGGGAAGACGCGAGATTTTTGACAGAGGCGCTGGAGAGGAACGAACGAGTGGATCGTTTGCGGGTATGTACGGGGAACACAATGATGGATCAATTCGAACCGTGGTATTTCGGCGTGGCTTTTGCGTTCATTTTCAAGTATTGTACAGGCATGCCCGACATGCCGGCCTTCTTGAAGCGTCCGCGGTATCGGCGTTCGGAAGAGGCCCCGCGTGTGGAGTTGCCGCTGTGGGTTCGCATCATGAGTCGTCGCGTAGAGAGCCAGTTGGCGCGCGATTGGCATTTCGGGTTCGTGTCGTGGAACTTGGTATTTCGTTCAGCGGTGAACCTGAGCAGGACGTGGTTTACGTACGTGTCAGCGAACCCGAAGGACCTGGACGCGCAGATCACGGCCGAGGAAATCAGCGAAGGGGCGAAGCAGATCTACCGTGCATTGGCGGGGAAATACCAGGACGTGAACGGTAAGAAGCAGAAAGTCATGGGAGACATGGCGAAAGTGCGCCACGTCCCGGGCCTAGGTAGAGCTGCCCACAAGTTGCTCGCGAACATCGAGCACGCGTCCCGGCGGCTACCAGGGACGCAAGAGACACGACGGGTCATGCGGTTCCAAACGAACGCGCTCCGCGTACGGTACGGGGTCCCCATTTTCGTTACCTTTTCTCCCGACGAAGGGCACAATATGATCATGGTACGGTTGTCGCGCACGCGGCGCCGTGACCCCGTCCACAATGCGGCGGACGACGCCGACGACGCGGCTGCGTCACGGGCCGCTGGTAGTAAGGAGTGGCCACAGGTCGCTCCAGAGACGGATGATGTGCGCGCGGCAATCCCGCTGGCGGCGATCCTGTCGCGAGTGCCTCCCTGGGCGGATCGCAGAAAGATACTCGCTCGGGATCCGATGGCAAGCGTGGACGGTTTCCGTGTGATTGTGGACGCGACGATGCGGCATCTTTTCGGACTGCGCACCTGTCCGAATTGTCCGGACTGCAACCATAGTAAGCAAATGTCGCCGTGCCAGGACTTATTCGGCAGCAACGCCGCGCCGGAAGGTGGAGTGTTCGGCAGGGTGGACGCGTGCTATGTATCCATCGAAGCGCAGAAGTCGACGGGCGCGCTCCATGCGCACTGTCAGGTGTTCATACAGTGTCTGCACCAGCACACGCCGCTGGACAAAATCTTCGAGCTCGTCCGGAACAATGCGGATGGATGGGGGCGGGAGTTCGTGAAGGAGTCGTTGGAGTACAAGCGACGGGTCTGCCGTCAGGAGTACTCGGCGCGTATCACCCCAGAGGAGCTTCAGAAGAATCTGGCAGAAGCGGAGGCCGCGTGGCCCGAGTACAAGACCGAATTTGGGCTGGTGTGCCGTCCGACGTATCAGACTCGCAGGGCGGGGCAGGGAGTGACGCAGCTGGAAGAGGCGGAGGAGGCGCGTGTGTGGGAGCGAGCGTACCTCGACCAAGATGTGCAGTACCTTCAAGAGCGGAAGCAGAACCATGTGCATCTGGAGAACCCGGAAACGGGGGAGAGGGTGCCCTTGCCAGCGTGTCGTCGGAAGGACAACCCGAAGCTCTGTAAGGCCGATTTCCCACGAACGTCGCAGATCATCGATCGTCCGGCTGTGATCTGCCCAGGGCTGGCGTCGCAGCTGGATATGCCGAAGGCTGGCAGGCGGAACCGCGTCGGGAGTTTGCATGGGCCCGTGAACCATGAGAGCCTGAATGGGACACACCCATGCATGCTTGCCGCGCAGCGTTTCAATTCTGACGTGCAGTTACCGTACAGAGTCCCGATCACCAGCGAAAGCTGCACGTGCGGGAAGGGATGTGCGGAAAAGCAGAACGACGCAGCTATCATCAAGGTGGTCCAGATCGCTCAGGACGCCCAGGCAGGGTACGCGTGCGACTACTGCACGAAGCGCCAGCCTATGGCCTTCCATGAAGTCCGCGAGTGCTCCAAAGGGATCCAGAAGCTCAGTCGGCAGTTGCACGGGGAGAACGCGAACTACGTCGGTAAGCGGATGACGACGCGCATCATGAGTGACGCCTACGGGAAAGGCATCGTTCGCGGCCAAGTGGAGTGTGCGAATCTTCGAGCGTATGCCGTGGAGAAGGATGTGACGTCGGCAGAGTCGATCAAGACTTGTGAGACGTCCAGTTTCTTCGGACGCGAGTACGTAGAAACGGTTGAGAGGTTGTCGGACGGCACAACCGGAGGGCGCAAGGCTCAGTTCGCGGAGGTTGATATGCGAAATCCAAGGCGGCGGAAAGTCACTATCAGGGACGTTGCCATGTTGTACGGGCTTCGTCCAAATCGGGACGGCCTGTGGCACTTGTCGCCATACGAGTTCGCTACGTATTGGAGGCCCGTGCTCGTGTCATACCCTACCAGTCTCAGGGACGCTGACGCCGATCTGGACAGGCACCATGCGTTCTTGACGGCGACAGGAAAGCAAAAAGTAAAGGAAAATAGTCGGAGTCAGGGGCAGGCGGAAGAGCTAGTGCCTGGGGTGGATTACATGGTGAAGGGCGACGCAGGGAAAGATTGGGTGGCGTACCCGGACACTGACGGATGCCGGCACCTGCGACACACGTGGGTTCTTGTCAGGAACAAGAGGCCTATGGCGCCAACCTTTTTCGGGGCACCGGTGCCTCGCAGCCGAAATGGAGAAGCTGAGCGGTCAGCGCGAATTGTAATGTCTTACTTCCACCCGTGGACGTTGCGACAGTCAGAGGCCGACAATCACGTGGTGTTCGCAGGCGCACTGCGACGGGCCGCGAAAACGTGGGAAGCCGCCATGGTTGCGTGGTTGGACGGCGGAGTTCAATCGGAAGAAGCTGCGCGGTACGTTGGGAACTTCCTGAGCGTGTATCGCGTGCGTCCGAGGGATGCGGAGCATGATGAGGCTCGGAGTGACGAGGACGTGAGTGACGAAGAATTGGAGGTTGGATTCGACCAGCTGGACGAGGCTCTGAAGTCACGCGTCGGGGGTCGGAAGCGGGACGACGGCGACGGTGACAGCAGTTGTGAAGAAGAGGTTGGTGGGGTGGAGGGTGGTCTTAGTGGCTGTACACATTATGAGAACTCGAAGGCAGGCATGGCCAAAGCCCAGGAGGTGTGGGGCCGGCGCCCAAACGAAAAGTCGCTGAGTGAGGTGCGAAACGCGTGGCCCACAGCCGTCGAATGTGATCTGGAAGCTGTTCAGGCCGCAGCAAGGGCATCGCGAAACAAGGAGAAGTCAATGGCCGACAGAGTGACTGCGGAGGAAGGGAATGGGAAGGTGGAGGCTCAGGCAGGGGCGACATCACAAGAGATTGCAGAGTGGCTCAGAAAACTTGAGCATCGGACTGACAAGGACACAGGCCGACGCGTGGTCAACGCGAAACAGTTCGAGATGGTGAAGCAGGTAGCAGAGAGGGTGATGGAAGAGCTGGACGGGGAGGCACGAGGGGGCGCGGGCATGGGTGACCCGCTGCGGTGGTGTATGCACGGAGGGCCCGGCACCGGGAAGTCGCACGTGCTGCGTATTCTTCGGAAGGAGCTGTTCGAAGGCTTGATGAAATGGACGATAGGCGTCCATTTTCAGATCACGGCCTTCCAGGCAGTCATGGCGCAGCTGCTCGGTGGAGACACCATCCACCACGCCTGCGGTATCCCCGCCGTGAAGCGTGGTGACGAGAAGGGCGAGGATGTGAAACTGCAGTACGAGACGGCCAAGCGAGTTCTGCAGTGGAGGTGGTTGTTCATAGACGAGATCAGCATGGTGAGCGCCCGGCTGCTCGCCGAAGTGGACCAGAAACTTCGCAGCGTTATTCGGGACATTGGCACCCAGAAGCGCGGGGAGGACGGAGTGACGCGACCCTTCGGCGGTTTGAACGTCGTTCTGAGCGGAGATTTTTGGCAGCTGGCCCCTCCGGACGGAGGGTTCCTTGCAGACGTGCCAGCAGAGCGCATCGCGGCGGCACGGAAGTATACCTCGCTCCCGCCAGTGCTACACGGGCAGGCTCTCCTGTGGGGGGGAGGTAACGAGGGCGTGCAGGGGGTAACGGAGCTAGTGGAGTGCGAGCGCTGCGACGATGCCTGGCTGAAATCCGTGCAAGAGGAGTTCCGCAGAGGAGACCTCACGGAAGACACGCATTCATTTTTGCACGGGCGTGATACTGGAGTCCCGGGGAGTTGGCTCCATGGTGTGGTTGGATGTGGGAACGCGAGATGTAGGGCCTTGTGCGACGCCGCAGGGGTCTCAGAGAAGGAAACTGTCGGAGCACGCCGTCAGCGCGCGATGTCCCCGAAGGAAATACGCAGACAGGAATGTGCGGTGTGCAAGCATGAGCGCGAACGGCGCCGTCTCGTCATCGACGGTCCAGATGACGCGCGCATGCACACGGCGAAGTTCCGGTGCGCCCCCGGGGTGTTCCCGAATAACGACGTGAAGTATGAGGTGAACAAACTCCGAGCGTCGCAATACGCCCGACTGCACGAGAAACCTCTGGTGTACGTGCCTGCGCGCGACACTCCGACACCAGATGCGCTGCGAGAGCGGCCAGATCTGCCACATCAAAAGATGGCCTGGCTGCAGCGCCACGACAAGGAGAGCGGGGACCTGTATGGTTTTTTGCCAATCGCGGAGGGAATGCCTGTGGCCCTCACAGATCATATCGACCGCAGCGAGGACAAGTACCTACTCCGCGGACGCGTGGGGACCGTGCACTCATGGGTGTGTGATGGCGACGAAGGAGTGGGTCGCGTCTCCCGGGGGGGGGAGACCATATTGCAGAATACGCCGAAAGTGATATTTGTCCTCTTCGATGAGGGTCGCGATGACGCAGGGAACGTGATTCCGTGCAAGTGGACGATCCAGGGGCTGAAGACGCCGGGCCTGTACCCAGTGACTCCGCAGAAAAAAGATTGGTTCGTCGACAAGGGCAGGCCGTACCCGCGTCTGAAAGTGAAGCGGCGGCAATTCCCCTTGGCCCCAGCGTTTGGAGTCACCGCCCATTCAGCACAGGGCCAGACTTTTAAGCAGGGTGTCATCGTGGACCTCAGGATTGGCGGGGGCACGTCGCCGTTGTCGAGTTATGTGGCTCTGACGCGCGTGCGTCGCCGCGAAGACATGTTGATATTTCGGCCTTTCGACCGCGCGCCGTACACTCAGAAGGAGCGGAAGGGCCCCGGATTACTGTTACAGGTGTTGCGGGGAGACCCGATGGACTGGGATGCAATCGAGAAGGAGTTCATGCCTGCAGGGATGTGCGCACTGTGCTCGTCGGTGAAGTACAAGAACCAGTACGCGGTCGGGCAGTGGAGCCGGGGCGACGGTCGCCGCGTGTGCCAGGTGTGCTTGGAAGGCAAGAAGAGCAGTGGCACGCCGTGGCAGTGCACGGAATGCTTTCTGTGGAAGAGCCAGGATGCGTTCCATGCATCCCAGCACCACAGCTCGAAGCTCACGTCACGGCGTTGCGTGGACTGTCCTGAGAGGCGAAAGTGTTATGTATGCGAGGGCCGGAAGTACGAGGAGGCGTTCGTGGGTTTGCAGTGGGACAAGGCAGGGAACGCCCGATGCAAAGGGGGAATGTGCCGGGACTGCGAAGACGCGAAAACGCACTTGAAGTGTTCGCGCTGCGGCCAGGAGAAGTTACTAGATCAATTTGCCAAAGCGGAAACTATCATCAGCGAGGAACCCACTTGCAAGGCTTGTAAGAGGTTGCAGAGAGAGGAGGAGAAGGCCCGTGCCGAAGAGGCAAAAGAGCGCGTGTGTTCCAACTGCGGAATCCCCAAAAGGAGAACCGAGTTTTCAGAGTACATGCTGAAGAACGCGCCGAAAGCGTCGATGCAATGTAGGGAATGCGTAAACGCTGCAGCAGCAGAGCGGGATCAGGCGGCGAGGAAGGACATTAAAACTTGCGTGGTGTGCGAGAAGGCGCAACGGCAAGATTGTTTTTCGGATTGGATGTGGAACGGCGTTGCAGATCTGCACCGCAAGTGCAAGCGCTGCGTCGCTGCGCCGAAGAAGGACATGAAAACGTGCGCGGTGTGCGAGAAGGCGCACCGGCAAGATTGGTTTTCTGATTGGATGTGGAACGGCGTGGCAGATCTGCATCGTAAGTGCAAGCAGTGCGTCGCTGCAGGGAGGAAGGAAGTGAGAACGTGTGTAGCGTGCGAGAAGGCGCAACAGAAAGATTGTTTCTCTGAAAAGATGTGGGACGGCAGGGCAGAACAACACCGCAAGTGCAAGCGATGCATCGACGACGCGAAGCTGCAGCGCGGGAAGTGGAAATGTGTTGAATGCAAAGGCGCTTTCGGCAGGGACGAATACAGCAGCTGGTTGGCCGGGCGAACGACGCAGAAGGCGGATGGGAAGCAAAGGTGTAACGAGTGCTGTGCTGGCCAAGAGCGCAAAAGGAAAGAAGTCGCTAAGCGGAGCCATGCGTCAGTGACGAAAGTGCGTAAGACTGGATAGCTGTTGCCGCAGCCGACAGGAGGGACGATGGACGCGCGTGCCAGTCGTGAAGCATGTTGCCGGGAGAGTAGGAGAGGCATGCTGGCAAGGATGGGGATGTCGTTTTTTTGTTTTTTTTGGGGGGGGTATAAGTAGTTTTTGGGCGAGAAATCGTAGGGTCGGGGGTCCCAAGAACGGAGCCCAGAGGCTTGGGGATGTCGTGGGGGGGGGGTGGTGGCCAAGTGGGGGCCAGGTGGGCGGTATGGGTTGTTTTTGGGCGAGAAATCGTAAAGTCGGGGGTCCCAAGAACACAGCCCAGAGGCCTGGGGATGTCGTGGGGAGGGGGGAGGGGGGGTGGTGGCCGGGTGGATGCCAGGTGGGCGGTATGGGTTGTTTTGGGGCGACAAATCGTAGGTCCGGGGTCCGAGGAACAGAGACCAGAGGCCTGGGGATGTGGTGGGGGGGTGGTGGCCAGGTGGGGGCCAGGTGGGGGGTATGGGTCGTTTTCGGGCGAGAAATCGTCGAGTCGGGGGTGCCAAGAATAGAGCCCAGAGGCCTGGGGATGTCGTGGGGGGGGTGGTGGCCAGGTGAGAGCCAGGTGGGGGGTGTGGGAGGTTTTTGGGCGAGAAATCGTAAGGTCGGGGGTCCCAAGAACACAGCCCAGAGGCCTGGGGATGTCGTGGGGGGGTGGTGGCCAGGTGGGGGCCAGGTGGGGGGTATGGGTTGTTTTGGGGCGTCAAATCGTAGGGTCGGGGGTCCCAAGAACACAGCCCAGAGGCCTGGGGATGTCGTGGGGAGCGGTGGTGGCCGGGTGGGGGCCAGGTGGGAGGTATGGGTCGTTCTTGGGCGAGAAATCGTAGGGTCGGGGTCCCAAGAACAGAGCCCAGAGGCCTGGGGATGTCGTGGGGGGGTGGTGGCCAGGTGGGGGCCAGGTGGAGGGTATGGGTCGTTTTTGGGCGAGAAATCGTAAGGTCGGGGGTCCCAAGAACACAGCCCAGAGGCCTGGGGGTCGTGGGGGGGTGGGGTTTTGGGGCGACAAATCGTAGGGTCCGGGGTCCCAAGAACAGAGCCCAGAGGCCTGGGGATGTCGTGGGGGGGTGCTGGCCAGGTGGGGGCCAGGTGGGGGGTATGGGTCGATTTGGGAGAGAAATCGTAGGGTCGGGGGTCCCAAGAACAGAGCCCAGAGGCCTGGGGATGTCGTGGGGTGGTGGTGGCCAGGTAAGGGCCAGGTAGCGGGGATGGGTCGTTTTTGGGCGAGAAATCGTAGGGTTGGGGGTCCCAAGAACAGAGCCCAGAGGCCTGGGGATGTCGCGGGGGGTGGTGGCCAGGTGGCCAGGTGGGGGGTATGGGTCGTTTTTGGCCGAGAAATCGTAAGGTCGGGGGTCCCAAGAACACAGCCCAGAGGCCTGGGAATGTCGTGGGGGGGGTGGTGGCCAGGTGTGGGCCAGGTGGAGGGTATGGGTTGTTGTGGGGCGACAAATCGTAGAGTCCGGGGTCCCAAGAACAGAGCCCAGAGGTGGGGATGTTGGGGGGGTGCTGGCCAGGTCAGGTGGGGGGTATGGGTCGTTTTGGGAGAGCAATCGTAGGGTTGGGGGTCCCAAGAACAGAGCCCAGAGGCCTGGGGATGTCGTGGGGGGTGGTGGCCAGGTAAGGGCCAGGGGGGGCGAAGGGGTTTTTGGGCGAGAAATCGTAAAGTCGGGGGTTCCCAGAACACAGCCACGAGGCTTGGGGATGTCGTGGGGGGGTGGTGGCCAGGTGGGGGCCAGGTGGAGGGTATGGGTTGTTTTGGGGCGACAAATCGTAGGGTCCGGGGTTCCAAGAACAGAGCCCAGAGGCCTGGGGATGTCGTGGGGGGGTGGTGGCTAGGTGTGGGCCAGGTGGGGGGTATGGGTCGTTTTTGGCGCGAGAAATCGTAGCGTCGGGGGTCGTAAGAACAGAGGCCAGAGGCCGGGGGATGTCGTGGGGGGGTGGTGGCCAGGTGGGGGCCAGGTGGGAGGTATGGGTCGTTTTTGGACGAGGAATCGTAAGGTCGGGGGTCCCAAGAACACAGCCCAGAGGCCTGGGGATGTCGTGGAGGTGGTGGCCAGGTGGGGGCCAGGTGGGGGGTATGGGTTGTTTTGGGGCGACAAATCGTAGGGTCCGATGTCCCAAAAAGAGAGCCCAGAGGACTGAGAATGTCGTGGGGTGGTGGTGGCCAGGTGGGGGCCAAGTGGCGGGTATGCGTCGTTTTTGGGCGAGAAATCGTAGGGTCGGGGTCCCAAGAACACAGCCCAGAAACTTGGGGATGTCGTGGGGGGGTGGTGGCCAGGTGGGGGCCAGGTGGGCCGGTATGGGTTGTTTTGGGCGACAAATCGTGGGTCCGGGGTCCCAAGAACAGAGCCCAGAGGCCTCGGGCCATGTCGTGGGGGAGTGGTGGCCAGGTGGGGGCCAGGTGGGGGGTATGGGTCGTTTTTGGCCGAGAAATCGCGAGGCCGGGGGTCCCAAGAACAGAGCCCAGAGGCCTGGGGATGTCGTGGGGTGGTGGTGGCCAGGTGGTGGCCAGGTGGGGGGTATGGGTTGTTTTTGGGCGAGAAATCGTAAGGTCGGGGGTCGCAAGAACACAACCCAGAGGCCTGGGGTGGGGCGACAAATCGTAGGGTCCGGGGTCCCAAGAACAGAGCCCAGAGGCCTGGGGATGTCGGGGGGGGGTGCTGGCCAGGTGCGGGCCAGGTGGGGGGTATGGGTCGATTTGAAAGAGAAATCGTAGGGTCGGGGGTCCCAAGAACAGAGCCCAGAGGCCTGGGGATGTCGTGGGGGGGTGGTGGCCAGGTAAGGGCCAGGTGGCGGGGATGGTGGGGGGTATGGGTTGGTTTGGGGCGACAAATCGTAGGGTCCGGGGTCCCAAGAAGAGAGCCCAGAGGCCTGGGGATGTCGGGGGGGGGGGGTGGTGGCCAGGTAGGGGCCAGGTGGAGGGTATGGGTTGTTTTTGGGCGAGAAATCGTAGGGGCGGGAGTCCCAAGAACAGAGCCCAGAGGCCTGAGGATTTCGTGGGGGGGTGGTGGCCAGGTGGGGGCCAGGTGGGGGGTATGGGTCGTTTTTGGGCAGTAAATCGTATAAGGTCGGGGGTCCCAGAACCACAGCCAGAGGCCTGCGGGAGGGTTCGTGGGGGGTTGGTGCGTTGGGGCCAGGTGCGGGCTCTAGTGTTGGTGGGGGCGACAAATCGTAAGGTCCGAACTCCCAAAAAGAGAGCCCAGAGGCCTGAGGATGTCGTGGGGGGGTGGTGGCCAGGTGGGGGCCAGGTGGGGGGTATAGGTAGTTTTTGGGCGAGAAATCGTAGGGTCGGGGGTCCCAATAACAGAGCCCAGAGGCTTGGGGATGTCGTGGGGGGGGGGTGGTTGCCAGGTGGGCGCCAGGTGCGGTAGGGTTGTTTTTGGGCCGAGAAATCGTAAGGTCGGGGTCCCAAGAAACACCGCCCAGAGGCCTGGAGTCGTGGGGGGGCGGTGGGGGGGGGGTGGTGGCCAGGTGAGGGAAGGTGGGCGGTATGGGTTGTTTGGGGCGAAAAATCGCTAGAGTCCGGGGGTCCGGAAGAACAGAGCCCAGAGGCCTGGGATCGTCGTGGGGGGGGTGGTGCCAGGTTGGGGTCAGGTGGTGGGTATATGGGTTCGTTTCGGGAGAAATTCGTCGAGTCGGGGGTGCCAAGAATAGAGCCCAGAGGCCTGGGGATGTCGTGGGGGGGTGGTGGCCAGGTGAGAGCCAGGTGGGGGGTGTGGGAGGTTTTTGGGCGAGAAATCGTAAGGTCGGGGGTCCCAAGAACACAGCCCAGAGACCTGGGGATGTCGTGGGGGGGTGGTGGCCAGGTGGTGGAGGGCCATGTGGTGGGTTGTAGTTGCGTTACGTGTTAGGGTTGTTTGGGCGACAAATCGTTTTGGGGCGGGGGTCCCAAGAACACAGCCCAGAGGCCTGGGGATGTCGTGGGGAGCGGTGGTGGCCGGGTGGGGGCCAGGTGGGAGGTATGGGTCGTTCTTGGGCGAGAAATCGTAGGGTCGGGGGTCCCAAGAACAGAGCCCAGAGAACTGGGGATGTCGTGGGGGGGTGGTGGCCAGGTGGGGGCCAGGTGGGGGGTATGGGTCGTTTTTGGGCGAGAAATCGTAAGGTCGGGGGTCCCAAGAACACAGCCCAGAGGCCTGGGGATGTCGTGGGGGGGTGGTGGCCAGGTGTGGGCCAGGTGAGGGGTATGGTTGTTGGGGCGGACAAATCGTAAGAGTCCGGGGTCGAAAGACAGAGGCGGGGCAGGCTGGGGATGGCGGGGGGGGTGCGGGCAGGTGGGGGCCACGTGGGGGGTATGGGTGGATTTGGGAGAGAAATCGTAGGGTCGGGGGTCCCAAGAACAGAGCCCAGAGGCCTGGGGATGTCGTGGGGGGGGGGGGGCAGGTAAGGGCCAGGTGGCGGGGATGGGTCGTTTTTGGGCGAGAAATCGTAGGGTCGCGGGTCCCAAGAACAGAGCCCAGAGGCCTGGGGATGTCGTGGGGGGGTGCTGGCCAGGTGGTGGCCAGGTGGGGGGTATGGGTTGTTTTTGGGCGAGAAATCGTAAGGTCGGGGGTGCCAAGAACAGGAGCCCAGAGGCCTTGGGGATGTCGTGGGGGGGGTTGATGCCAGGTGTGGGGCCAGATGGGGTTATGGGTTGTTTTGGGGCGACAAATCGATTAGGGTCCGGGGGGTACCAAGAAACAGAGCCCAGAGGCCTGGGGATGTCGTGGGGGGGTGTGTGGCCCAGGTGGGGGCGAGGGGGGGTATATGGGTTTTGTTGTGGCGACAAAATCGTAGGAGTCCGGGGTTCAAGAACAGAGCCAGAGGCCTGGGGATGTGTGGGGGGTGGCTATGGTGGGCCAGGTTGGGGGTATGGGGTCGTTTTGGCGCGAGAAAAACGTAGCAGGTCGGGGGTCCAAGC